TGAGCAGAGCGTCGAAGATACAAACTCGTCGTCGTCCAAGGTAGAGCCGAACCCGTTGCCGTCGAAACGGTGGCCCGGCAAGCTGTAGATGTCACCGAGTTGCTGGTGATGCAGGCCGTTAAGGTTGCTCTTGAAGGAGTGACCCAGGGGCGAGCTAAGGGGTGACTGCGAGCGCGAAGGGATGTTGCGCGCCATAGGGCTGGTGACGAGGTTCTGGACCGAGCGGTGTTGAGAGAGGAGGTTAAGTCTACCCAGCTTGCTGATGGTCTTGAAGAGCTCACGGTCACAGCCGACGAGGTTCTCAGCGCCAGGGGGAAGCAATTGAGCGTCGGGCATGACGCCGTAAAATGTAGAGTTGAGCTGAGCCTCCCGGTCGTTGATACTGGCCGAGATGGCGTCAAAGTAGGTAAAGATGGCCTCCATCCATGCAGAGTCGCGGGAAGGCGCCAGGTTATGTGATCGCCGCATAGAGAGGATCTTCTTGACGCCGGCGAACTGAGTGTGGAACTTGGCGATGCCCGACTCCACCATGCGGTAGTGGCAGAGAAGCAGGATCGTGGCGAGGACAGAGTCGTGGCTGGACTTGGCCGGATCGTTGAGCTGCTGGTTGAGAAGGTGGACAGCCAGGTTGCGGTGCTGGTACTCTTCGGAGAGGGATTGGTCCTCGGGCTGGGCGTCCGCCATGGACTCGGCGGTCGACTTCTCAGCCATGAGCTTCTCGGAGAGTTCACGTGTGTCCTGGCCCAAGCTGAGTCTGCGCTTCATCCGCAGGTTGCAGGCTGATAAAGCGCAAATGGCATGCTGTAGGCTCTGACTACTCGAAGCCAGGTGGAGAATGTGTTCTCTGTAAGGGTTGCTGGGTCCGTCCATGAAGACCATGCCCGGGCACATGATGTTCTTGTAGTAGTCCATGAAGAAGGGCATCTTTGCAATGAGGTCAGAGTTGACGTGGACGGCCTGCGGCTCGAACATGGTGGGCCACTGAGCCGAAGCGTGGTGATCCGAATGATGGGGTGACATCTCTTCCGGAGGGGGCGATGTCCAAACATGACCGTTGGAATTGCAGCTCGTGCTGTATGCATCCATCTCGGGTACGCCTAAAAGTCGTCACGTCAGCGAGTCTGATCCTAAAGCAGAGCAGCCGAACAGGGCGTCTTACTCAAAGTGTCACACTCCCGCATCAGTTTCTGACTCAACTGGCTTTCGAAGTTGTCCATGTGTGATGTGAGACTGGAGCTATGTTCGGATGGGGCGTACACGAGGCTCGGGCACGATGTCGGGGCGGCTCTCTGGTCAATAAGAATGGCAGAGATGGGGCTCTGAGGCACCGGCGAGCCGTGGGTGCTGTAGCCATCGTACATAACGTTGGGGCTGTGGAGGAAGGGGATATCGTCCCTTGAGTAAGAATGGCTCATGGGGGACATGTAATCGCCATCGCTGACGGACTCGAGTGAGGAAGACAGCGCGCTTGAGATGGGAAGAGGTCCCAGGTGAGCACCCAACTTCCTGTAGTTGGGACCATCCGTCGGCATACTGTTTGAGTACGGGAGGCCGCCCCAGTGTCCAGCAGTCATTGATGGTGTGTGCTCGGGGTGTGACATGGAGAGCATGTCGTAGCTGTGAGGGTAGGGTGTCGTGGGTGTTGAGACAATGTGCTCCGGTGAGAAGCCGGCATCGTTGCGCGGACTCCTTCGAGACATGTCGTCTGCATCGGCCCAGCCTGCGCTGGTAGCCGTGGAGTTTGCGCGGGGACGCGAGGGTGACTTCTTTGCAACTCCGGCCACTGGAGGTGCCTTTGCAATGGGAAGAGACAGACCGCGCAACTTGCCTCTGCTGGCAACGCCAACGCCCCAGGTCAGTTGAGTCTTGTAGCCTGAGCACTCGTTGCCGATCTCGAGACATTGTGAGCAGTAGGGCCGTCTGCGGTCACACTTGACGTTCCTCTTGGAGCAGGTGAAGCAGTCGTCGGCAGCGCCACCGGCGGGAGCGCGTCTTCTCCTTTTCCGGACCGAAGCGGCAGCGGCAGCATCTTTAGCTTGCGCGGATTGTTGTTGAGTTATGGGAGCGGTCATCTTGTCCTGTGTTCAAGTTGAATGTGGGATGAAAGTGTGGAATGCGTTTTATAGCGCGTTTGTGAGACCGGCTGTCAGTCAGGGAGGAGGCAGGGTACTATCGATGTCGAACAGTAAGGCAGTCCGGCAATGGTACGGACGAAGTGATGGTATTCTGGGAAAAGATGGTATACCGCTAGGGGTAGGAGAGCAATAGATGAAAGCGAGAGGATAAGTCAAGAGGCACAGTAATACATCCAAGTGTGGCAAGCCTCGGGGACGAGGAGTGTATATATGTATCGAGAGGTGGTGAGCGTTCTGGTTGGCAACCATTGGCTACATGGATGAGAGATTGGCTAGAGATACACAAGCGGCGTGCGAGGATCCTGGGCCTCAGCAAGCAACTCGTCCGGGGCAGAGAAGCGGGTATTGCACAGGCAGTCTGAAAGTACATCATGTGCGTTGACGGGGGGTAGAAGGCAACTTGAGAGAGCACCGATGGGGGTGGGGGGGCAGAGAGAATGAGTGCAAGAGGATGCTTGGAGGAGCACAGCACCCAGCATAAAATGGCAAGAGAGAGACAAAGTGAGTGAGAAAGACCAGGGGCGGGCGACTTGGACGGATGGAGAGAAACCTACGTGAAGGCGAGCCGGGTTGTCTGGGTGTGTGAGAAGAGAGCGGCGGTCGGGGAGTGTGCCTCGTCTCTGGGTTCCTGGCCGTTCTCTCGATCTTAGTGGATGCGGGAGGTAAGAGCTCGAGAGACACAACGAAGAGTGGGAGGCAAGGCTAGAGAGGAGCGGCGGGCAGAGCATAGCGAGTGGGAGTCGAGAATGGGAGGATGAAGATGAGCAGATCAGCGGGTCCATTGCCAGATGTCTGAAGAGCAGGGGATCCCTAGGGTAGGCAAAGAGGGAGTCCCCATTTCATTGCAGGCACAAGAGCCCAGGGCCCTCGACTGTGAGCTGTGGCTACTGCTGCATCCGTAGGTACCTTGCCTCTCGCTGGCTTGCCCGCGATTTTAGGTTGTTCTGGTCAAGATGTGGCCGGACGATGCGACAGGGACCCCTTGTCATCCAGACTTTGGAGGGGTTGCATGCCTCATTCATCACCCCCCAAATTTCAAAGTGTGTGCGGTGCGGTGCGGGTGGCTTTGGTGGGCGTTCTATCTTGTTAGTAATAGTTGTCGATATTGGGGGAAGAGGAGAGAGTTGAATGCGGAGTAAGAGCCTAGAAGAAAACTATTATCTCCAAGATCTGGTTCGGGAGCTTTCACGGTAGGTTCTTAGTTGGAGAGAGTAGTGTAACCAGACGCAATCTCAGGAACGTCTCGTGCGAGGACTGAGTGCCATCTTCGCACAATACCTGGCCGGGCAAAGACAGAGCGCGATCAATGTGGTCGGTATCCGCTCTGCTCTCCGCAATTGAGATAGGATAAACGGAGAGAAGGAGAGGTACGCAGTAGAGAGAAAAAAGGTTCAATCCATGGCTGGTGACATACGATGAACGGAGATCCAGCCCGGTCGTCGCAAAAGAACCTGTAGCACGGGAGGGCAACGAGATAAGACGTGATAGAGGATTGCGGGGGGGAGAACTTGAAGGTGAGGAGACGAGACGGATAATGATCAATGCACCCACCACTAAAGGCAAGCAAACGAGGAACGAGAGACGACATGTTCCCTTTGGGCGCTTGAGATCCCTGCTATGAGATGTTCGGCCCCAACAACTCGTATTCATCGGTCCCTGAACATTAACAGTTCCCATAACCAGCCCGCGAACCAGCCCTTACTTGCTTCCCGCCTTCGCCCGGCCTTGTACGGCGTATCTGATTCTGACAGACGAGTATCCGTAGATCGGGCGAGACGAGACACTGACGGTAGATCCATCGGAAATAGCATCATTGCGGGAGCGTCTCTGGCAGTTTCCATTTGCTAGGATTCTGACGACGTTGGCAAGTCTCAGATTAGCCCGGGTTTTCGACCAGACCAGCTGTCAGTCAGAAGTCCGGTCAAGAGAAGGGGAGAGTCGGAGACAGTAGGATGAGACAGTCTTCGTTCTGCAGCCTGTCAGTGACGACTGCGCAGTCAGTCAGTCAGTCCGTCCGTCAGTCTCCAAAATGAACGTCTGCACTCAAGAGCAAAAGACTGGCTCGCCGGCTCCCAGCTGCTCCTCTTCGCGCCTAGCCTCAACCTAGCTCAGGTCCTTTTGCAAACCCACCATAAACCCACCCTGCTGCTCCCTGAGCGAAGGCCCCTGCTAGCCACTCGATGCGATGCAATGCTGCTGCATCTGCCGCGCTACAGGGCAGGGCAGGACAGGGTCGGTCCATGCAAGGACAACGACAACGGCGAGGGCGGAGACGGCGGCCGTGGTCAGGATGATTGGCAGCCCGGGGGGGGGGGGTTCTCCAGGAGTCTAGCTACCAGCCAACCAGCCAGCTTGCGTGCTTCTTCTGCATCCAGAATCTCTACGGAGTAGGTACTACAGACAGAGAGGCGTCTATGAAGAACAACAAGCCTGTGTGCAATTAACTTTCGGCCTGCTGCGGGCAAGGAACAAGGCGCCGCGAGCTAAAAACGACGCGGACAATTGTCGTCAGACGGGGGTGAGGCTGGAACGGTACTTGAAGCTTGGATGAGCGAAACGAGGGACGAGGTCGGTATCTGTGATTTGAAGTGAAACCAAGCAAGGCCCTTTTCGTTTTACACATTCTTAGTGGTCCGAGTAGCGTTGGTCTGGCAGTTCTCTGCGATCCAAAGAACAAGAAAAGATGAAGGAAGGTTCAAGGTTCAATGTGTTTGGACGAACTGGCGGCTGCTGCTCCTCCTCCATCGATCAACCCAACCAATGACATGGCCAAGCAGCATCTGCCAATGGAAGCCGCGTCTTGGTAGCTGGGCAATCCCGTATGGACTGTCTTCGTAGCGTAGTAGCTTAGGTTAGGTTAGATGACTAGGCGGCCCAGTCAACAGCCGATAGGCGCATGGGGTCGAGACTCTTGTCTGAGATAATGACTCTCGAAAGATTGCGGCGACAAGAGAAGTCGAGCAAAGGTTCATTGAGGTCCACGAACAGCGAGACATGGGCGCTCAAAGTGAGCAGAAGAGCGGATCGCATGTGACAGAAACAGCCACGGAGATGAATGCTATGATGCTTGTCACTGCTGTTGTTGCCGGGCCGTGTCTGTTTTCGGTCGCCGGTCTCCTCTCTATCTGTCTTTATACGGACAGAGGATGCACCTGAAGTGAGGGCGAGGCATATGAGATGGAGTGAGCGGGTGAGGCGTGCGGCGCCTGAGTCTAAGGCGAAAGCTACAAGTGAGCCTCTGTCGGCCGCCGCTGTCGGTACATAGTCTTGACGGGGAGTCCTGCGGCAAGTGGCAGGTATCTAACGGCAAAGTGCTTTGTAACTCAATCTCACCCGTGTTCCGTGTTCCTCGGTACGCATTCCCTCGAACCGAGCTGGCCAGGATGATGACGGGGTGGTTCATCGTTCATCTTGGAACCCACCCGCTCAACACTGACCACCTGGCGACTTTGTGACTTGTTAACAGCGCGAGGGCGTGGGACTCGTGGGAGTCAGGACAGGGCAGCGAGAGTCAAGTGTGAGGGTGAAGCGACATGTCAGAGAGCTTCGGACATGGACGACGGGTGAACCCCCGCGCCCCACGACGGAGCAATTCTGGTCCATAGTGACCCATGGCCAGCTTTTTGATGGAGATTTCCTGTTCCTGTTCTTGTTCCCGTTCCAGCATCTGTTCCTGATTTCCAAGCAGATGCAAGACGCCCGTGCCCATAGAGTGCCAGTGCGACAGGTATGTACCGCGGTAGAGACTTGTCAATGACCGGATTTGGTATGTTGGACCTGGTGATGGTCGTGGTGGTGGGTGGTTATGGTGATTGATGGGTCTTATTTGGTGGAGTGAGCGATGCAGTTCGCATGTGTCTAATATCCGTGGCATACGGGTCTGGTGTATCCGTACTTTGAATCCATATCCAATATCATCGGCGGTTGTTTCGAGCGAAAGAGATTTTGTTATCTTTAGCCCAGCAACCCTGTCTGCCGATGCGCTCATTCCGGCCTACTGTAAGGTAGAGGCGCGTATGGAGCATCCCATAATTACTTGGTATCCGTAGCTCAGCCAACATTAGAGAGCCGAATGGATCGTAGCCACAGGTGATGAAAGGGTACAGTTTGTGACACCTGAAGAGAGCAGCGCACATGTATCCGTTCGTACCCATATTCCGAGTCTGTCTTGGTTGGCATGGGCTCTTAAACGCGGTAGCCGTTGGATAATTCAAAGTCTGGCTCAGGTGTCAAGTGATGAAAAGGCTTGTCGTTGTTGTGCGGTGAAGCCTATCGAGTACCTACATACAGATACACATAAAGTAATAAACTAGAGGAAGCAGCCCCATGCCGGATTGGCTGGATGCGTGTTAGACGCAAGGCAAGGTGAGGGAGGTGAGTTGGGTAAGTTGGGTCGGGTTGGATCGAGGTCTGCGAGATGTGGAGAGGGGGAAGGGGGAGGGGGGAGAGGAAGGGCGGGATGCAGGAGTCCTTTTCCCGCCCGCACTGGAGAAATCTACGGATACACACCGGTACTCGAGGGAACGACAGCCGAGCAAAGATCTTAACGTTTACCTTACCTTCCAATTAGCTAATAGGAACTTTGAGGGCACACTTGCGTTTGTTCTGGTAGCGAGTGGCATCAAACGTCCATCGTCTAATGTCCTGTGTCAATGTTTAATATCCAAACTCCGAGGAACCTTTCCCCTTCTCTCCTTGATACACATCACAACACCTCACGACGCAACTCGACACACTTTTCCCCAGCGTAACACTTCGGAAGAAGCATCTCATCACACCGGATCACCCTCACTTCCATCCCCAGTCCTTCCGGCCAGGGCCCTTTCCTCTAGAATGCTACAGAAGCATAGGCTATGATGGACTATGGATTCATGGAAGCCTTGGCCTGCTTGTTGGGCTTGTTGCCTTCTGGACTAGCTGCGCCGTGGCGCCTCTGCCCAGGAGCAACAGAGTGTGCCATTGCAGGATAGGTGCAGGGCATCGCATCCTCTACGCCGTGCAACAGAACGGGCGGCGCTTTTGCTAGACCTTCCATGCAGACTTCGACGCGCCTTCTGCCATCCGGCCAGTCTGCTCAGAGGCCAACCACTTTCACGAGATGTGACTTGCAGGTCAGGCGCGAGCAAGTGCTTGTGAGAAGGGGGAAGGCCCAAGGGGGGGAAGTAAGAGAAGGAGGAGGGGGGGATGAAGCATGCATACGAAAGGATGGCGTTCTCTCCAGGCACACACTCAATCTCACCCACACACTCTCACTCTCACCCTCACAGGCTCACCCACACCTTTCCATCGTTATCGTCAGTACCTGCCTTCTGCCTTTCTTATCCATCGGTGGCCGACGGCTTCCTTCGGTAACTCGAGGCAATGGAAAAGAGGAAGAAGGGAAGGAAAGGATGAGAAGTGAGAAAGAGGGGAGGGGGGCAGCGGGCGTCGAGCGTTCTGGAAGCTTTGCAAAGAACCTCACAATCCGATTCTACAGTACCATCTCGAACCTCACATCTCGTCACCGGGATCCGAGCCTCCTCTGTCTCTCTCACCTCACCTCGAACTCAACGTCGTTTAGCGCTCTTGGTCAAGCGGTACATGCCACCCACACTTTTCATCACACTTAGTAATGGGTTACTGCACGTCTCTGAACCGCCATCCCGACTGCCGAGACTGGTCGTAGAGACCGTCGCAACGCAGAAAGTCCACCTAGCTGCTTTGGCCTCAACTGTCGCCGCCGTCCCATGAACCCCTCGTCAACCTCGCTTGCGCCGCTGATGACATTTTGCACCTTCAACTCACTTTAGCTATCCGTACAGCCTACCAATATCATGCGACATCAACACCGCAAACACACATTCGCGGTAGTGTGACTGAAATCAGCAGCAATAGTCCGTCCTAGTATTATTGCCCTTCCGCCAGGCCCTAGGCCTGCCTGCCCGACACGATGCGGATGTATCGATCTCTCCGATGCTGGTTGACACAATTCCCCTTCTTCCGGACCTGACGGCCTTGGCTTTTTGGCCTGCCTGATTCCTTGATCACAGCATGCCAAAGGCGCCTAGGATCCAGTTGTCCAAGTACAGATACCTCCTCGCCGGTTCTTCGTGTCTCAAATCTTGCAGGAGTAGCGCCGCTGTCACGGTCCCAAGGACGTCCATCCACTTTGACACCCCGGGCTTCACCTCAGGATACCCAGGACCTAACAACTAATGCTGGCTGACGTTGCGTTGGTCCAGATGACAAACGTCCGCACTGACACCGCACGCCCCCATAGCCTTAGCTCGCTTCGCCCGCGAGAGCCAGGTGCACCGGTTCGCGCTCTTTTCGGAATCCAACCTCGTCAAGAACAACCCTTGAAGGATCAATATCAACGCAGCCCTGAGAGATTGAGAAACCAACAACAGGATCCTATCAGCCAGCCTTGAGTGCGGCAGAGCGACGGGATCGCCATCGTGGGGCTAGCCGGAGGTCGCCCCAGCTCTTTGCTCAACGTCGGCCGTCTCCATTCATCACATGCTTTCCCCTATTTGCGAGTCTCGGCCGTTCCCTTCTCCATCTCTGCTATTTTGATAGTATCCAATCCGCGCCCCGAGGTTGTCCTCAGAGCCCACTTCGGACCCGACCGACACCTCCTGCGTCCCTGCGACCCCTAACCACCGACATTGATCAACACTATAGGCCTTGAATGCCATTAACCCTTGTCCCTGGGAGCCCGGAAGGGTAAAATAAGGGGTTTTGCCCAAGTTGATTTGATTTGAGCACAGAGTGGTTTACAGGTTCCGGAGAATTGGCAGAATACGGCTTCAGCCACGCTTAAACTTGGCTAGAGGAAGCCCCCAACGCAACCTAAGTGACTCGAGAGAAGCGTTTGCAGAGCAATAAATCATTGCAGCCAAGAAAGGCATATTCACGACCCTCCGTGAAGCTGCAGCCCGCGATTCATGACGATGCCTGCTGCGGCTTGCCCCTGAGAGCTGAGACTTGGTCTACTCTGCGGGTATTGATACTGAGCACTTCAAAGTGCCCATGCACAGAATATTGGCTTCACAAACAAGTTCCAAGAACAGCAGGTTGGCAAAGAGTCTCCTTCTCAGAAAGGACAATGAGAAGATCAACCCCCATGGTTTTGCATTGCCGTTCTGACTTCCGCTTGCCCAACTACCGCAAGACTGGGGCTACGCGAGACGGCATGTCGGGAGAAGCGCGTCCAGGAGTCTGGTTGACGTGCATTCGACAACCATCGCGAGACATGTCATTGCTACATGGTCCCAACCCACGCCGATGACGAGACGGTGCAGCAGAAGCGCGAACGATGCCTAGAAGGGCAGTTCAAACTTGGACCACTTCATCTTCCGTATCTCTGATATCGTATCCAGAGAGCAGAGAACCATAGCACATGGTTTGGCTTCTTCTTGATGTCACCCAAGAGGGCGACGTCGTCAAGAGAAGTTCGCCAGCTTCCTCTCCTGCTGCACTCTAAACTCAGAGAAGCAGCCTCTAGCAGTCGCAGGTACGGATAGCACCAACCCTATTCCAGAACAGTCTGAACAGAGCAACGATACACTTCCCGCCTAGCGCGAAGGATGCAGTTCGGAGCGCTAGAAGGACCGAGGAAGCATGCAGAGAAGCTCTCCAAACGCCATTTCACAAAGTCAGGGGGGTGGTCTAAGCCTCACTCGATGCAAAAAGTCCTCAAGCCAGCCGTTAGCGCGGTGACCGGCTCATCCCCCCGTCGGCGAGTTAAAATCGACTTTGCCGTCTCCAAGTGTGCGCCTCCCGTCATCCGTCATCCGTCAACCGTTAAACCGTTCGTTCGTTCACCGCAACGCGCGAACTGCTCCGGCCAAAAACAGCCAACCATAGGTAACCAGTTGCAAGAAGGATCCTGTTCAAGCCCGCCTCGCTGCCGTCATCTGCTTCCTTTTCGCTCAATGTGTCCCCCCACCCCCAATGTTCGGTCTCGGGACGTGTGGCTTGTCTCCGTATCTACTTAGTCAACGATTAGTTTGCGTCCCTCTACCTAGCGATTAGGTAGTGCTGTGGGCGCCGCCGTTCGCTCGTGCAGAGAACCGTTCGTCCTACATGGTCAACTTCCACCCAACCATCACTCCTTCAGCACCCCTGATGCCAGCTTAACTCTATCAGGCTCGAGCAATGTGATTGGATGCGGGTTGTTACGACCGCCAACACCATCTCCCGAGACACTCACACACATCATGCCGGTTTTGTGGACGACGTCTAGGTTGGCGGCCATGGGCAGACTTCTCTTCCGTATGGTACCGGAGCAACATGATGCGGTTTGTCAACACTGGCGGTTTGACCATTGGTGCCCAAATCAAAGCTGTTTACTGGGTGGCAGGGTCAGGGTCAGGAAGGCCTCTCTACGGAGTGGACTATGGACTCTGGACGCTACACCGCACGCTGTTGTCGCTGTTTCTCAAATGAGAGTGAGCCCACCGCCACTTCATCAATACCCTAGAACCTGCCCCTCGATTCCACGCTAGGCCAGCCGGTGAAGGTGAGAGTACTCCGTAGAGGGGTGACCCCCAACCATCTCCGCCTGGGACTGATCGTTCTCTCTCCATTTCTATCGGGATTGACATTAAGGCGCTTGTCAGGGCCCCATGAATGGTCTGGTGCAGGATGAGCACGCATACACCACGTACCTACATCACTCTTCTCTAAAGCTTGATCAGATCATTGTGCAGGCGGCCACGCATCACTCAACCGTTCCTGCTCAAGAAAGCACCTGGGACGTCATCGTACCCCTTCGACAACAGCGTGAGTCTAGCCTTTTGATGATGGCATGCCCATACCGATCCATCATCCCGCGCCGCCGCTGTTGTGGAAAATGGGTGGTCTGCCAGCTGGCTCTGGCTCTGGCTCAAGAACCCCTGCTTCATATCAATCCTGGTCGGTCGAGCCGCCAATTGCTTTTCTCTCCTCTTGAGCATCGAAATCTTACCAGACTTTTTCCACCGACTGGTTCTGGCATGAGCTAAAGCGCCTGCCGCGATCCCTGCTCGGAAATTTGCTTCAGCACTGACAACGGCGGCTGTTTGGCAAGGTCGCTTCGATGTCCGGTGTGTTCAGAAGCCCCAGTCAATGTCGGGTTTACCCCAGTCTTATCCTCGGGGCTCTTTCGGAGCATGGATGTGTTTATGTAGCGTACAGCTGCGAAAAAGAAGGAAACATGGAAAAGATTCTGGCAAACTGGATTCCGTAAGCTCATACCAGTCCCCGCGTTCCTCTTCTTCCTTGCTCTCCTTACGCTCTGTCAGTGTCTAGATGTCATGATCATCCCCCATCGGTGTCTACTCATCACCTCTCGTCGAATCGGCTCGCCTCACGCCTCGGACCTTGAACGATTTGCCGCTATCTTATTGGCATTGCAACGTTGCAATCATCATCTTAACAGAGACAAGCGTGGTCCCTGGGACTAGCGAATGACAAGCGCCAACGACCGCCTCCAATAGCATCCATCAGAGACCGTGGGGTGGAGTAGACTTCATAAAGAGAACGCCGTCGTTCAACCTCCAGTGTTTGCAACTCTATCGGTAAGGAAAGTTGTGGAGGGTTCGGAAGGCAATAGCCTGACTCTTCCTCAGGCCGATATGTCGGGTATCCGATTCGAGCCCACTGGTGGCAATCATCAGGCCTTTATTTTAGTCTATACTAATCGGTCCTGATGCAGTGGCCTGCTCGTAACGACGAACGGCACAATTACGATTACGCAGCCGCAGCCTCGTCTGTCGTTTGATGCCTGGCCGATCTGGACTATCGGTTCCTGTGCAAGTAGAACGCGGTCTACTGAGCCGCGGCAACCTTGTTAGTGTACATCAGGTTATTTCGAGCTTGTTGATCACTCGGCCCAAGGAAGTATGCTCAAGGCTATCGCTACACTTCTGGAAAACTGCAGGCTGCCTGTCCCTGGCAAGTAACTGAGATACTGCGAAGCCACTTCATAGTAGAGGCGACTCCGGCCGGGGGCTGAGTTGAATGCACACTGCCCTTACGTTCTAACACAAAGGAAGGATCTTCTTACCGCCGCTCACTCACATGTCTAGGGATCCGTATATGCCTCTCTTTCTCTCTCTTTTCAAGGGTTCGCCAAGCGGGACTTTGAAGATCGGGGGTCTGGGCCAAACAGTCAAGGCAAGTTAAGCTCGTCGCGTGCCCTTCAGTTCGTCTCGTGCAACTTTCTTTCCCCGCAAATTGGATCGGGGTGGCATTCCGTGGCCATTGCTTTCCCTTGCCCCAGCATCAAGCTAGTCTTGCACGATTACCGACAGTGAGGTCGTTGACAGGACGCCATGACTAAAGATGGACCTCGAATTTGCTAATGCCAATGTCACGCGTGCCAAACGACCCCTTCCTTCACAGCATACGCGGAGACAACCAGATCAGCGGAGGCGGGAAGGCGGTCTTTTGCCATTCAAGCATCTTCGACCGTTGGGCGATTTGCATGTACGGAGTATCGATGTAAGGCCAAGGGAAGGGGGTGGTTCTGCGGACAAGGCCCTTAATGCGGTTTCGTTGACCGTCGTTTTCCCCGCATCCAACTCACCTTTAACACGCCGGCATGAACGAGTTAGCCTCACGGTCGTTTCCATGGACGATGTCGACGTCAAAGGGCTAGCCGGCACGCTATCTCGAGTCCCTTTTCTTGGCGGTTTGCCGACCGCGGCTTTCGCTTCGTTCAAGATTAGAGGGGGGAGGATCTCATCGGGAGTGGTCGGGGGCCCTTGGTTTTCCTCGCTTCCTTGCCTGCTCTTTCGCCTTTCGAGGCAATGTGCTGTTGTTCACACCACAGGTCACTCCTTGCCAGGTCCCATCATGTGGCGTTTCACACGTACTCGAAGATGAAGATCGTGGCTGGGCCCCCAGAGAGGTCGACTGCGGCAGTATCCCCGAGGTAGGTGTGTTGTACGTGTGAACAAAAGTGTGTGCCTTGCGTTCCCTCTTTTCCAGGAACCGTATGCGAGGAATTCAAGCGCCTCTCTGCCGGCGGCCGTACCCTGCCTACCTAATCACCTCTCATCCCACTTCGATGTGCCTTTTTACCTTGGGCAACAGCTTGTGTCAGTGAGAGAGAGAGATACGTCAGTCGCAGGAAACCTGAAGTGTGAAGTTGCTACGCAGTACACTAGACTGGCCAGCCTTTTCCCTAATTACGCAGTAGACCTCTCTGCCCCCACACACCCCAAGTCCTCGAGCTATTTGCCTGATTTGGATCCGATGGAGAAGTAGGAACCAGGACCATGCGGGGGTGGTTCTTCTTGCTGCGACTGCGAGGAGTGTGTGTGTGTGGTGGTGCGGCCACGACCCCCCGCTTGGCTTCCACAAAAGTTCCCAGCCCGGCTGCCGCAGGCCCGCATCGGCACAGGGGTGCGGCGCGCGAGGGGGGAATGGGACGCACATCATGTACGCTCGGGTGTAGTGGGCATTTGTTGTGCTTATTCTTGCAAGCTATGGCTCTCCGCAGACGTCTACCCGTACTTGTGATACGCAGTAAAGAAAGGTACCTACCATGAGCAAGCATCCCACAGGACCCTTTTTCCGGGTCTTCCTGTCAGGTTACCTGTCAGGAGGCTGTTTTTACGAAATTCGGACGGCGTCAACTTGTCGCGCAGGCTAAAGGTGATGAGGTTCTTTTGTTTACCCCTCGGACGTTTCTCGCTTGGGTAGACTTTCCCAATCTCGTCTCTTCTTCTCTGACTTTACTGCGAAAAAGAGCTGGTTCATGTCTCGATGCTTGTCATAGAGAAGTAGAGACAGAGAATGAACTCCATGTATGCAACCCTACCCGGCGATGCTCTACTTGCTTCGACCCAATGAGATGAAGTTGGGAAAGAAGGGGTGGTGGTGGTCTAGCCTTCTGAACCCTTTTTCCCTCTCCCACCACTGGGCTCTGGGCGGCGACTACAGCAAAGCGTGACCTTTCTCGAGATCTACCTAAGCTTCGCTGAAGATGGTGAGAGATTCTCGGTCTCTGACGCGGACGACTCTTGCTTGCGCATTTGTGGGCATCCCATTCATATCAGAAGTCACACCTCTCCCCTCCCTCCACCACCTCGAGATGTGCGTCCTCCCCAGGAGGAAAATCGATTCGCTGATCCGCGACATCGGACGACGTTTCTTGCCATCTGTGGGTAGTGGTAGTGCTCCATCGCCACACCTTCTTTCGAGGTCCAAATTGTAATTAGAAATTCTGGACCTTTCTCTCTCTGTGTGTGTTGCGTCCATCAGATATCGATGTCTAGACCTCGAGACCGGCCCCAGGATCTTTTTTTCGCCCCTCCTCTCTCCGTAGCCGTTGCCGGCCCGCAAACGGGGCTCGGGTGCTTCACAATGGCACGCAAGATTGCCGCCCCCCTAATAACAATAATGGCTTCACTGTTGTTGTGGTTTTGGGGTTCATCACCCGATCTTGGATGGATCCAGATAGACCTCAAAGTGAAGCGGCAATTGCATGTAACTGGTACTACTGTACCTCTGTAGGTTCCATGTCTTGGCTGCAACTGTCAACTTTCACAGGCATGAAGAATTACAAAAAAACAAGCAGTGGCAGTACCGGCCGGAGTGGACCAAGCTCTTGGTGAAAGTCCCGCCTGGTGTTACCGCACATGTCGAGAAGGGAATGAGGATATCCAATAATACGGGTATGCATGGGAAAGCCAAGTAGGCGGCTCTGGAATTAGTGTTCTCGTGTTGCTCTTGGTCATTGTTGATAGAATTACGAGTGAAGAGAAAATTCTGTAACTTCCGCAATTCTCTCTTTGAATGGCGTTATACAGCACTAACCAAAATACCCTCTTCCTTCTTATTGTACTTTGCTTCCTTTCTCATTACATCTTTCCCCTTCCCCTGCTCGTCAAAAGTTCGTTCGTCCCGCTTCGCGCCATTGCCTGGGCATTTTTCACGTTTGTTGCCTCCCACCGTCTCCCGAGCCTTGCCTTTGCATCTGTAGGTCCGAGGCGAATCTGGCGTTACAGTGACACGGCAGGCAAGATGAAGCAAAAGAAGAAGTAGGAAAAGAAAGGACGACATGGCCAACCTAGTTTCTATTACTTGATCGTCTCCGGCACTTAGGGGCGTGTGCTCTTCAAGCGAGAAGCATTGGGCACCTGGGCACGCGATGAAGTCCCATAACTTCACCGGTACTATGGAGTCGAGGATGGGGGTCTTTCTTGACAGGCGCATTGTGCATTTGTGCAATGCCGCAAAAAAAAAAAAAAAAAAAAAAAAGAGCGCACGACCCAGGGGGGCGTGAGCCAGATTACACGATTCTGTGTCTCTCTATGTCTCTGCACGCCCACGAGGGGGCAAATCTTGGCTTTCCCACTGTTTGGTTTGCAGTGGGACGAGATGAGGCAGTGGCGATGGAGCCTTGTGTGACGGTGAGTCGCGTGCCGTGGGGGGTTTCTGGTTTCATTTGCGTGGCGGCATATGGCAAAATATCTGTTTCTGTCTTCTGGGTTTTGAGAAAGGAGAGATAGTGAGATGAATTGGAAGGTTGAAGCTCTGTTTCGTCGCGGCGGTCTCGCGTACCAACGAGTGTTGTCTTGGGCTTAGTAGGCATCTGTAGCAAATTAAATGCCATGCATTGGAGATCCCGTTTGCACATGATTACTGATAGTCGTATACGCTTTGTAATTATCTTTAGGCCTTACCTTGATATCTGTACGATATTCGCCCTGGCCATGGCTTATGGTATAGTCCCGATGTTTCCGTGGCTTGATGTATCACGCTTTCTCTGATTCCGATTAAAACTTGAGGCCCCGGATCGTTCATATTGGTTGGGACTATCCTAGTTTGCAAGTACGAAGACAGACATGTTCCTTATGATCTACTCTGTCTCGGGTCGTCATCCCGTCTCTAATGTAAAGGCCATGATTCATAACTCAGGATGCGGATTAGTTGGAGCTCAGCTCAACCTCTGAAGCTTGATCGTAACTTACTTCTAAGACCAAATCTCCGTATCGAAGTAGACTCTCGATCATTCCCTACACTGCTATTCAATACCGAGTTCGCCTCTCTCTAGTCAACATGGGCTTCCAAGTGTTAAGGAAGGTTTACGAGTGACTTCGCGTCGACATATGGCTCGAGCCTCCACGCTCGTTGTGACCTTGACTTATAAAGTATCTAACG